GGTCTGAAAAATGGCAAATGAAATTCAACACCAGCAAGTGCAGCGTACTTAATATTGGAAGAACAAATACTTATAATGTATACAGCCTTAACAACATCAACCTAGAGAAGTCGATTTGTGAAAGAGACCTAGGGGTACTTGTAAGCCCGGACCTACGGCCTAGAAAACAGTGCGTTAATGTTCGAAATAAGGCAAACAGAGTATTGGGTTTTATATCTAGAAGTGTAAGTAACAAGAGCGCAGAGGTCTTATTGCAACTATATCTTGCGCTAGTTAGGCCGCACCTCGATTATGCGGTTCAGTTCTGGTGCCCCTATTATAGAATGGATATAAATTCACTAGAGTCGGTGCAGCGAAGAATGACAAAAAAGATTCAGGGACTTAGAAACCTTCCATATCAGGATAGGTTAAAGAAACTTAACTTGCATTCCCTAGAAAGACGAAGAGTGCGGGGAGATATGATAGAAGTATTTAAGTGGGTGAAAGGAATCAATAAAGGGGATATAGATAAAGTTCTTATAATATCCGAGAAGGATAGGACTCGGAGCAACGGATTCAAGTTGGATAAGTTTAGGCTTAGGAGGGAGATAGGAAGAAACTGGTTCACAAATAGGGTGGTGGACGAGTGGAACAAGCTTAGCAACTTTGTAGTAAGTGCGGGAACTCTGGAAAGTTTCAAAAAGAGGCTAGATAGATTCATGGATGATAGAGAGTCGTAGTAACTCTCGACAGGAGCTGCCATGCACAGGCCAACAGGCCTATTGCAGACTCCTTATTTATATATATATATATATATATATATATATATATATATATATATATATATATATATATATATATATATATATATATATATATATATATGCTGATAACCACAAGGAAAGAAGAAACACGAAGTTCCCAAGCTGCTTTCGTGTGAACGTACATCTTCAGGGTGTACAGACTAGAGAGAGAAATACAAACTAGTGTATATATATATATATATATATATATATATATATATATATATATATATATATATATATATATATATATCATGTAGATCCACAATGAAAACGTGGATAGGATAAATCTTGTTAAAATCACACAGGAAAAAGTGAAGTAATGGAGCACCTTAGCTTTCGTCTTTATTCAAGACATCTTTAGAGGCAACTGAATTACAAGGACCGAGAGAGGCTTAAGTACACAGGGTGACCTTACTAAACATTAGGTCAGGTCATAGACAAGCCATCCACTAATCCGCACACATAACACTACCACACACACAAAGGAGCTTAAAAGAAAGGGTGACGTAACTAGTCATGTTAAGTCAGGTCAAAAATATGGGACCCACTAATCATCTATCCTACATCTAACTCGAATGCTTTCAAAGCATTTTTAACCTTGGGCCACTGACAAATAAATTTTTTAACATATTAACAGTTTTGTACTGACCATCACTAAGGTTTATAGAATTAAATTCTTTTATCAATCTTGCTTCAACCAGAAGTCTTTCTGTGAAACATGATGCTTTATACACTTCTAAGCTGTTTTCCCAATCTATGGGGTGATTATTGTTCCTAACATGAACGAACAGTGCACTGCTTTCAGATGCTGTTCTGATATTTTACTTGTGTTGTTTAATTCTGAGTTGAAATCCTTTTCCAGTCTGTCCTACATAATTTCCATTACGGTTGCTACATGAAATGCAGTAAACACTTCCATTCACATTCAAGGTTGGGCTATTCTTGATTATTATATTGGTAATAGTTGATTGATACTTAAATACAACATTAATATTTAATAATTTAAGGGACTAAACTAACAGGACAAATTCATTGCGAAAGGGCAGAGTCAAAATATTCTTAAGTGTAGGAAATGGCCTGGTTTGAGTAGAATGAGAGGATTTTTTTACCCTTTTACAACAATGATCGACAAACAATGTAGGGTACCCAAGTTTTTGTGCAATGGAACGAATGTGTTTCAGTTCTTCATCAATAAATTCAGCGTCACAAATACGCAAACATCTCAAAAACATAGCAGAAGCCATCTGGGGTGAGGTTATGGGGCGACCTCACTAGGCTTTTTGTTCTATGACCTACCTACACCGTCCGATCGCCTCGCGACGCCATAGCTTCCATGGGCGGAAGATGGTTTACAAAGATGGATGCCAGGATGGGATACTTTCAGATCGGAATAGCAGAGGAGGACCAGGATCTCACTTGTTTTATCACACCCTGGGAGCGTTTCAAATTCAAGCTTTCGGTTATGGGGCTCTTTTCATCAGGGGACGTGTATAATCGCCGAGGAGACCAGACCCTAGGAGGTGTGCCACGGACTTTGAAAATCGTCGATGACATCCTGGCGTACGACTGCTCTTACCACGAACATCTAACCCATGTAATTTCTCTCCTGCAGCGGTGCGACACGTTTGGAATAACTTTGAACGCTGAGAAGTTCCGCTTTGCTGAGTCCAGTGTAGACTACTGCGGTTACTCGACCTCGAGACAAGGATATATCGTGGATGATAAAAAGGTAAGAGAAATCTCCAATTTCCATCTACACCAGAATATCACCGACCTCCTGTCGTTCATGGGACTCTCCAACCAACTCAGAGACTTTTCCCCTGCTGTCGCTGCTGCCGCACAACCCCTAAGGGACCTTCTCAAGCCTCGTAATATCTGGTGCTGGACGTCTCAACATGACGCGGCTTTTGAGGAAGTTAAGCGAGCGTTGGTCTCACCACCTGTCTAGGCGCATTTCGATCCAGCGTTACCCACCATGCTGGAGACTGACGCATCCAAGATGCATGGCTTCGGATTCGTCTTGCGACAGCAGCATGGGGAGGAATGGAGGCTCACGCAATGCGGGTCAAGATTTCTCACTGACGCAGAATCAAGGTATGGAGTGGTGGAGCTGGAGTTGGCGGCTGTACTGAGGGGCGTCCGGAAGTGTGGCACCTACTTCACGGAGCTACCACATTTTGTCTTGGTTGTGGATTATCGTCCCCTGGTGCCTCTTCTCAATAGGAAGCTCCTCAGCGAGATCGAGAATCAGTAATAATAAATAATAATATTAATTAACGGTTTATTGAAAGAGCTAGGCAGCCAGAAGGCTGAAAATATACAGTTACATATTTGGGGAATGGGTTTCGAATTACAAATAATATACAAGTAACATAAGTGATACAAATAAGATATATAATAACTAGATGGGGAAAAGCTCAAACTACAGTGCATTTCAACATAGTGACAGTGCAAGAAGTACTATTTACTGGGAGTGAATACACTGGTTTATTACAAGTTATTGATAATTTTTACAATGGTTGGGACTGGGCTGTTCTTATAGCGGTCAGTTCGTGCACGTATGGGCTGGATGCGGTTGTGGTGTCGAACAGCAATTCTCGGGCTGGGGATCTCAGGTGGTAGTAGGAGCCGGTGTCGAGGATGGTGTAGAAGCTTCTTACCAAATTTGCAGTTGAGGTCGTGGTGATGGTCAGTGAGAGTCGAAAGGGTCAGTGTGTTGAGCGCTTCTTGATATGTGGAGTAGGAAGGGGAGAGAATAATTTTGCATGCCCTCTTTTGCACTTTTACTTGGTGTTTACGTTGTGTGGTATTTAGGGAGGAAGACCAGGTGGGGAGGCATAGGTGAGCTTGGGAAGTATGAATGTTGTGTAAACACTGAGGAGCTCGGGTGCAGGAACTCCGAGGGACTTGAGTCGGCGGAGGAGGTGGAGACGGAAACTGGAGGATTTGACAACTTCACTGACGTGTGGTTTCCAATTTAGTTTGTTGTCTATGGTGACGCCGAGGAGCTTCGTGGAATCTACAACCTGGAGTGTGTTCGGACCTAAAGTAATGGAAGGAGGTGGGACAATGTCTTGGTATGGTTGATGGTGACATGGTTGTTGGTGGCCCAGTTTTGGAGACTGTTCAATAAATCCTGAAGGGCGGTATAGTTGGGAGCAGAATTGTTGACGCTGATCCCAATGGTGGAGTCGTCGACATATTTCCAGCGAGCAGGGGTTTCTCTTAGGGCATCATTGATGAGCATAAGGAAGCAGAGTGGTCCCATCTTGGTGCCTTGGGGGACGCCACAGGTGAGTGACTGAAAGGTGGAGACAGCCCCTCGGAAGCGTACAGCTTGGCGTCGGTCACTGAGGAAGTCTGTAAGCCATGGTATAAGACTTCTCCGAAGCCCGAGGTCACTAGCTTTGTTGATGATTATATTGTGGTCGACTAGGTCGAATGCTTTAGTGAAATCAATGAAGGCGACAGGTACAGACGTTTTTCGTTTCTCGAGATGGCGGTATATGTAATCGAGAAAGTTGACAAGACAGTGAGTGGTGGAGGAAGTTTTCATGTTGCCAAATTGCTCAGGGTCTACGACTCCTGCAATATCAGCATAAGCCCAGTCGAACACAAAACTTTCACAGATTAGGCTGGGTATTGGGGTGATTGCAATAGGTCGTAGCTGATTTAAGGATTGTGGGCTGGTTGGCTGGTTGACTTGGGCACTGGTGATACATAAGAGGTCTTCCAGTCAGCTGGGCATCTGGCTTGACTGAGAGAAGCATTGATGATGGAGCATAGGGGCTTAGCAAGCTCCGGGGAGAACTCCTTGAAGAGTTTCATTGGTAAGTCAATGGGGGTGGTAGAGCGTTTTAATTTTAGTTTGTCCAGGCGTTTTGCTACTTCAAATTCTTCTACTAAGTCAGTGGGAAGGGGGGCCGGTAGGTAAGCAGGGAGAGTGGTTGTGTCAAGCCGGGGGAGCGTCTGGCATATAGTAGCGAAATGGTTTTTTGTTTGCTCAGCTGCGTCAACATTAGTGAGATGGCTAAGGAAGGGGAGGGGGTGTGTCTTATTGTTTAGTCCACAGAGTTCTTTAAGCTTACCATACCATTGACTGATGTTGGTCTGCTTCAGGTGTTGTAATTTGGTTGGGTAGTGGGACTTCTTTGCAGTGCGTATTTCGTGGATGACTCGGTTGCGAAGGGACCTGTAGCGGATGTGGTCATTGAGATGAAAGGCTCTGTCTCTCTGTTGCAGAATCAGAGGCTGCAGCGCATGCGTGAGAAGCTCTGTATCGACAGCTTCACAGCCCGTTGGCAAAAGAGTAAGTTTCATTGCATTCCTGATGCTCTCTCTCGTGCTCCAATCCAGGATCCATCCGCGGAGGACGACGTCCTGGGGCCGGATGATGAGGACCCTCTACACGTTGCGGTAGTGTCTGCGCTCAGTACAGTCTGTGAGGAGGGCACCCCACTGGCGCCGTTACAAGACCAGACACTAGTTAAGGTGCGCGCTTCTGCCGCCCGAGTTGCAGATTACACCGCCCTACGTGATGTCATCATGAGAGGATTCCCAGAGCACCGTCAGGATTTGGAACATGCGTTACGACTTTACTGGGGCGCTCGCAGCATGCTCGCTGTGGACGACGGCCTCATTTTGTATGGTTCACGACTCTTGATTCCTTGCAGCCTTCGACGTGAGTCACTGGAGAGGCTGCATGACGGGCACCAGGGAGTGAATAGGACGAAGAGACGTGCTCGGCAGGCTGTATACTGGCCAGTGATCGACCACGATATAGAAAATACAGTTTCATCCTGTTCCCTGTGCCGACCACTCTTGCCTTGCCATCAGAATGAACCGTTATGGCGAGATGACTTCCTCCTCCACGTCGACCACCTGTCTGGGTGGCCGTACATATCTTCCTGCCCGAGAACAGCGTCTGCAGCCCATTTGGTATGTGTCCTACATTATATATTTGCAGATACTGGTGTGCCTGTTGCCTTGAGGACAGATGGAGGTCCGCAGTTCACCCCGTCTACTTTCCGCCGTTTCCTGGCTCGGTGGAGGGTGGAACACCGGATCACGTCCCCATACAACCCACGCGCCAATGGGCAAGCAGAGGAAGCTGTTAAGGTCATGAAGAAGTTAATCTGCATCACTACAAGGAATGGCATACTGGACGAGGATGACTTTGCACGTGGGCAACTGGAATTGAGGAATACCCCGCGTGCTAACGGGAGGTCACCTGCCCAGGTCTTGTTTAGACATCCTCTACGATCATCTGTTCCTGCACATCATCGAGCATACGCGGCGGAGTGGCAAACAAATGTGAAAGTGAAGCTGTACATCTGCGTCGACAGGCCAAGGAGCGACACGATGCTTCAGCTCGACCACTCCCCAAACTGCAGCTCGGGTCATATGTGGATGTGCAGGACCACACATCAGGACGGTGGGAACAGTTGAGTGACATTGTCGGCATCGGATCCAGGCGAGAATATCTGGTGAAGATGGGCAGTGGCTGCACCCTGTGGAGGAATCACAGGTTTCTCCGCCCCCATCGTCCCATGATGCCAGTGGGTGTCACTGCTTCCAGACAGTAACCCACGGAGGCTGAGCGTCCATTATCTTGTGCTGGCAAACACCGCGCTACTGCGACAGTGCGTCCTGACAGTCCCGGGTTACCTGCGTCACCACCCATCCCACGCCGCTCTGGAAGACAGCAACTAGAGCCACGGCGCGTGACGATACGTTGGGACTCTAAGACGTACAGTGACGAGGAATCTTCAAACGGCAGAGATTCTTACGTCACCCCTGACGTCTTGGGGGGATGTGTGTGATGTCTGCTTGGTGTACGTGCGTGTGCGTGTGTGTGTGTGTATCGTAATTGTTCCAGTACGAGTGCTGCCCTCTTGTGGTCTGCGTGCGAATGAGTTGTGAATGAGAATAGTCTCATGCTTCATTGTACTATAGTGAATGAGACAGTTTCCACTCCTTACATGTATTGTAGTAGTTGACTTGTTTGTTAAATAATATACAGTAGTTATTCTGAATCCTGCTGTCACCTGTACAAGTTCCTAAATAAAGCAATTCTTCAAGTACGTGTTTACTTACCTCACCATGAGCGACGAGAAACCACACAAATAATAATAATAATAATAATAATAATAATAATAATAATAATAATAATAATAATAATTATGATAATTAATTACTATAATTTAATAATAAATAAAAAATATAATAACAAATTAAAATAAAGCAATAATAATAATCTATATATATAAAACAAGGAAGTATGTCTGTGTGTTTGTTTGTTTGTGTGTCTGCATGAAAATCTCGGAAAGTACTTTACTGATCAGTAGATGGATGGTGTTATATGTAGTGGTGATGGATGGTGTTATATGTAGTGATGATGGGTTGTGTTATATGTAGTGATAATGGATGGTTTTATATGTAGTGATGGTGGATGATGTTATATATAGAATATGAAAAGTATCCTTCTGTTGTCATTGGCAACATGGATAAGAAATGTGAATACTGCGGTGCAAAGAAGTACAAAGGAGAATCTGCTGGACTGTGCTGCTCTCATGGGAAAGTACGACTGCCAAATTTGGAAAATCCACCACAACCATTGAAGACTCTCATGCTGGGAACAAACACCAGAGTCAAAACACTTCTTGGAAAATATACGGAAGTATAATTCATGCTTCCACATGAGCTACCAGAGTAGTTCGTGAGCACGGAGCCCACATTCTAAATCCAGGGTCAAGTCTATCACAAAGCAGGTTCCCTCTTATCACTGGAAGATGAGCAGGCAATGTTCCTCCAAATCTACTTCATGGGAGATCATGAAAAGCAGACTACTATCAGGTGTGGCAACATTCAAGGTGTCAGACATAACATTGTCCTATCTATCCAAGAAATGATGCATGAGCACAACACGTATGTACAGTCAATTAAAAATGGCCTGGAAAACATGCCTTCTGACGAGTACAAAGTTAGGATCAAAGCAGACACCTTAATGCATTTCGGTGAGACAATGTGGAGCCTCCCGGAGAGTGGCGTCCTCCCGTGGCCTGGCGAAAGAGCCGCCCAGAGGGCGGCGATTCCGCTAGTAATAATAATAATATTAATAAGTAAATACGAAAAATAAAAAAATAAAAACTTAAAGAATAAGGAACGATATATGAAAGATGTGTTGTCAAAGTAAGAGAAACAAATGAGACCCTGCAATTGTGTTTAAATGAGGCAAAAAGACAAATGAGCAACCTGGGACATTGTCACAATTTTTGTGATGCCATTGGCAGTAGGTTCTAACATTAGACAAAACATTATGCTTCCAATTTCTTCCTAGAGTGTTTGCTTTTCTCTCTCTCTCTATATATATATATATATATATATATATATATATATATATATATATATATATATATATATATATATATATATATATATATATATATATACAAGTGATCGTGGGCCCTTCGTTCCCGGTGGCGAGTCCGGTGATACAGTTTCCCGAGGCATGAAAGTTCAAACGCTCGTGCTTGGCTAGCGCGCAACCGCCGTCCGGCTGACAGCGTACAGCGACATCGTTTTCCAGATGGTCGTAGTTGTTATAATCATGGTCGTGGTTGTTATAATCATGGTCGTGGTTGTTATAATCATGGTCGTGAGTGTTATAATCATGGTCGTGGTTGTTATTATCATATTCGTTGTTGTTATAATCATGGTGGTCGCTAGTAACGGTCGAGGCTGTTATAATCATGGTCGTGGTTTTTAATATATTCGTTGTTGTTATAATCATGGTCGGTTATAATCATGGTCGGGTTGTTATAATCATGGTCGTGGTTGTTATACCTGTATTTTGTTATATTCATGGTCGTGGTTGTTATAACCATAGTAGTGGTAATGATCATAGTCGTGGTTGTATCATAGTTGTGGTTGTTATAATCATGGTCGTGAGTATTATAATCATGGTCGTGGTTGTTACAATCATGGTCATGGTTGTTATAATCATGGTCGTGGTTGTTATGATCATGGTCGTGGTTGTTATAATCATAGTCGAGGTTGTTATAATCATGGTGTGGTGTTTATAATGATATTGTTATAATCATGGTCTGGGTTGTTATAATCATAGTCGTGGTTGTTATAATCATGGTGTGGTTGATATATTCATGGTCGTGGTTGTTATAATCATAGTCGTGGTTGTTATAATCATGGTCGGTTATAATCATGTCGTTGTTGTTTAGAATCATGGGTCGTGGTTGTTATAATCATATTGTTATAATCATGGTCGTGGTTCTTATATTCATGGTCGTGGTTGTTATATTCATGGTCGTGGTTGTTATAATCATGGTCGTGGTTGTTATAATCATGGTCGTGATTGTTATAATCATAGTCGTGGTTGTTATAATCATGGTCGTGGTTGTTATAATCATAGTCGTGATTCTTATATTTATAGTCGTGGTTGTTATAATCATGGTCGTGGCTGTTATAATCATATTCGTGGTTATTATAATCATGGTCGTGGTTGTTATAATCATAGTCGTGGTTGTTATAATCATGGTTGTGGTTGTTATAATCATAGTCGTGGTTGTTATAATCATGGTCGTGGTTGTTATAATCATGGTCGTTTTTGTTATATTCATGGTCGTGGTTGTTATAATCATGGTCGGTTATATAATCATAGTCGTGGTTGTTATAATCATGTAGTTGTGGTTGTTATGAATCTAAATGTGGCTGTTATAATCATGGTCGTGGTTGTTATAATCATGGTCATATATATTCATGGTCGTGGGTTGTTATAATCATAGTCGTGGTTGTTATAATTATGGTCATGTGGTTGTTATAATCATGGTCGTAGTTGTTACAATCATGGTCGTGGTTGTTATAATCATGGTCGGTTGTTATATTCAGTCGGTTATAATCATGGTCGTGGTTGTTATAATCATGGTCGTGGTTGTTATATTCATGGTCGTGGGTTGTTATAATCATGGTCGTGGTGTTATAACTGATAGTGGTTGTTATAATCATGGTCGTGATTGTTATAATCATAGTCATGGTTGTTTTAATCATGGTCGTGGTTGTTATAATCATAGTCGTGATTGTTATATTTATAGTCGTGTTTGTTATAATAATGGTCGTGGTTGTTATATTCATGGTCATGCTTGTTATAATTATAGTCGTGGTTGTTATAACCATGGTCGTGGTTGTTATAATCATGGTCGTGGCTGTTATAATCATATTCTTGGTTGCTATAATCATGGTCGTGGTTGTTATAATCATGGTCGTGGTTGTTATATTCATGGTCGTGGTTGTTATAATCATATTCGTGGTTGTTATAATCATGGTCGGGGTTGTTAAAATCAAGGTCGTTGTTGATAGAATCATGGTCGTGGTTGTTATAATCATATTGTTATAATCATGGCCTTGGTTGTTATAATCATAGTCGTGGTTGGTATAATCATGGTGTGGTTGTTATAATCATAGTCGTGGTTGTTATAATAACGGTCTTGGTTGCTATAATCATGGTCGCGGATGTTATAATCATAGTCGTGGTTATGATCATAGTCGTGGTTGTTATAATTGTAGTCGTGGTTGTTAAAATCATGGTCGTGAGTGTTATAATCATGGTCATTGTTGTTATAATCATATTCTTGGTTGCTATAATCATGGTCGTGGTTGTTATAATCATGGTCGTGGTTGTTATATTCATGGTCGTGGTTGTTATAATCATATTCTTGGTTGCCATAATCATGGTCGTGGTTGTTATAATCATGGTCGTGGTTGTTATATTCATGGTCGTGGTTGTTATAATCATATTCGTGGTTGTTATAATCATGGTCGTGGTTGTTAAAATCAAGGTCGTTGTTGATAGAATCATGGTCGTGGTTGTTATAATCATATTGTTATAATTATAGTCATGGTTGTTATAATCATGGTCGTGGATGTTATATTCATGGTCGTGCTTGATATAACCATAGTCGTGGTTGTTATAATAACGGTCTTGGTTGCTATAATCATGGTCGCGGTTGTTATAATCATAGTCGTGGTTATGATCATAGTCGTGGTTGTTATAATTGTAGTCGTGGTTGTTAAAATCATGGTCGTCAGTGTTATAATCATGGTCATTGTTGTTATAATCATATTCGTGGTTGCTATAATCATGGTCGTGCTGTTATGCAATTTGGACAATGTGTTAAAGAGAATCATGGTCGTGGTTGTTATAATCATATTGTTATAATCATGGTCGTGGTTTGTTATAATCATAGTCGTGGTTGTTATAATCATGGTCGTGGTTGTTATAATCATAGTCGTGGTTGTTATAATCATTGTCCTGGTTGTTTTAATCATAGTCGTGGTTGTTATAATCATAGTCATGGTTGTTATATTCATGGTCGTGCTTGTTATATTCATGGTCGTGCTTGTTATTATCATAGTCGTGGTTGTTATAAACATGG